CAAGAGAATAGGTGGCGTGTGTTCCTGTATGCTGTACATTGTATGGGCTTGGTCTTTCTCTTTAGAAGCTCTACAATTGGTATTTGTTGCAGCCTCCTCCCTCATAGGTTGAGTCACATTCCACCCCTACTGATTGTGGTCACAGTCATTTGTGTCCCCATTGTGCACATGCAGTTTCCAACACAATGGAAGGTGGCAGTGAGTGCTCCTCTGTTAGTGAGCTCCAGCCTCAGGCTGAACAGCTCGGTTTAAAGGGTAGCGATGTCAGTTGGCGATAACGTGACCCCCCTCCCCACCGCCCCCAAAAAGCCGAGAGAACACGTCCATTAACCTGCCCCTCATGAATAGCTGGCAGGAGCAATCAGGCAAATTTCTAATGTCAATAGATACCAGCAGTGTCTGGATCCTGAAATCCACCAGGGATCTACTCCAGGAGATCCAGCTAGGAAAAGTGAAGTCGATTTAATGCTCTCCATTAGGGCTGGGTACCTCAGCATGAGGGGATTAGGGAGGTCTGAAGCTGGGGTTTAGCCTTTCAGCAGCATCTCTGGCTCTAAGTACCCCCAGATCGGGCCATTCGAATGCCCCCTCAAAACCCCAGCTGACAGGTTGCCACGGTTTCCCGTTCGGGATATCCACCTACTTTCTCATCCAACAGGGAATCAGGTGATTGGGGAAGCGGCCATTACTTGACCACTTCAGGGCCTCAATTGGTGGCAGGTCAGGAAGGTGACCTATGACCTTCACATCCAGAACATCATTCACTTCTTGCCAGGGCCAACAGTTTGCCCGGTTATTCCCCCATCCCTCCAGTGTCCCTCACCCCCTCCAGGGAGAGAACAATTCCCCCTCTGAGTTTCATGGCTCGCACCATTATTGTAATGCCACTGCTCGAGTTATTTATTACCAAAGTAACAGTGCAATCCTGGAGCTGTGTAACTTCAAATTGCTGTAACCCGCAGGGATATAATTCTTCAATAATACACCAGAGAAACCAGGGCTCCTTGTGAACCTGTTTGTTCAAGTAACTGTGAGTAATATCAGCAACAGCGCTGCTCCAATGAGGTCATTGGAGAATTGTGAGTGAAATAAAATTGGAAATCTATTGAATAAAGGGCTCAGGCATTCTGCTTCCAACGCCAGCACTGGATTCTCAGAGAACATGGGTCTGCTCCAGGTCCTCTGGATAACCTATATAGCTAAATTCGCTTTCTACTGTATTCTGGCTGTTGTCGGAGTTTCTGGTGAGCTTCAATGACCCATTTGTAACTTTATCCACCTGTGTTTTCCTCTTACCCTGCTTCTGTTCCTCCTGGGAATGTTGAATAAGTTACTTGAACATATTTGTTGTACAGTCACCCATTCAGCGGCATCATTCTATTGAGTCCCAGTTTTCTGTAACTCTGCCATCTGTATTGAAACTGGACTCAGCTTTGAGTCATTAATCCACGTAATCTTGCCTGACTTTTTTAAACATTGCATGCGATGTAACATAGATAGGTTGTGTGTGTCGGCAAAAGTCTGGCAAATGGAGTATAACATAGAATCCCTACAGTGTCAATGCAGGCCATTCAGTGCATACTGACCCTCTAAAGATCATCACACCCAGAAACAACCTCTGATAACCTTGTATTTCCCACGGCTAACCCACCTAGCCTGCAAATCCTGTACACTACGGGCAATTTCCCATGGCCAATCCGCCTAACCTGCACATCTTTGGACTGTGGGAGGAAACCGGAGCACCTGGAGGAAACCCACGCAGATACGGGGAGAATGTGCCAACTCCACACAGACAGTCGCCCGAAGCTAGAATCGAACCTGGGCCCCTGGCACTGATCACTGAGCCACTATGTCATCCATTTAGCATGGAAAAATGTGAAGTTGAGCACTTTGGCAGGAAGAATTTAAAAAAAAAACAGAGTGGTATTTAAATGGAGAATGACTGCAGAATTCTGAGGAATTGAGGTGCAAGAGTCACACAAACGCCGGTACAACACAGAATCAGGAAAGCGAATGGATTCAAGTATTTATTACGAGAGGAATTTTCTGTCATACAAGGCATTGGTGAGATGACATCTCGAATATTGTGTGTATTTTAGTTCCCCTTATTTCAGAAAGGATGCAAATACAGTGGGGGCAGTACAGAGCAGGTTTACTGGATTGATAGCTGAAATAATTGTGTTGTCCTATGAAAATAGGTTGGACAGACTGCACTTGTTTCCACTGGAGTTTAGACGAGTACGGGCTGACTTGATTGAAGTGTATAAGATCCTGAATAGTCTTAACAGGGTGGACGTAGAAACGATCGTTCTTCTTGTGGGGTAGTCCAGAACAAGGAGGCACGATTTTAAAATTAGGGGTCACTCTTTCAGAGACAGAGGTGAGGAGTACTTTTCCTGTCTGTGCAGGCTCCAAGTTGAATGTGAAAGCTGACATCACGTTTCACATGCTGGTATTATGAAGCTGCCTTTGCATAGTACAATAAATGGTGCAGCAAAGTAGGTTTTGCAGCTAAATTCCAAAGTTTTAATTGTCAAATGGGTGAGATCTGTTTCTTCTCTATAATAGGAATGGGCTTGCTTTCAATTCCTGGTCTGTTTTGTCTCCACTTTGATACATTGGCACCATAAAACACTGTGAGTCAGAGAGTCATGGTGATATGTTTAAGTTTCACTCCATTGATTCACTGTGTAATCCAGGTTGGTGCTGAGGGAGCCCTGCATTGTCAGACATGCTCTTGAGCTGTGGGACTCAACTTTCAGTCCTGAATGCTGCGAATGCCTAACAAGGAAAGGAACTGCTGTTCCTTGTGTTTGTGTTGAGTTTCATTGGAACATTGTAGCAGGCCCAGATGGAAATGTTAGCCTGAGACAATAAGGTGGTTTATGGAAATAACTAGCAACTGGGAGGTCAGGGTCGTTCCTACATCAGAGGAGGTGTTCTGCATAAAGAGGTATCCTGCCAAGTGGTCACCCAGTCTGCAGTTGGTCTCACCTTCGTAAAGAAGACCACATTGAGAGCAGCAAATACCGTAAACTAGACTGAAAGGAGTGCGTTTGTTTCATTAGAAATGGGAATGTTATAGTCAGCAGCATATCAGGAGAAATAGTGCCGGGGAAAGGGGAGAATTGGAGAGGTCTGTGTTTGATGAAGGTCTGGAGATCTTTAAATGATAGTAGCACTTTATAACATTATAACATGATGAGAAAGTGGAATGAACTTGCACAGGGAGTGGTTGAAGTCATTCAATGAAAATCTCAATTAGCATGTCATGGAGAAGGGAAGGAATGGTTACAATGGGAGATTGAAATAAGGAAAGATAACAGGGCAGGGAAGTGGCCCTTGAATTGAGTACATATTCTTGTATGGGCAAAACAAGCTGCCAGAAATATCCTAAATGGAAGATTTGTAGAGAGAAATTTCTCCCAGGTGAAATAATTTAATACATTATAAAGGCTGGTAGATATACCTCCCATTAAATAATGCTCCTGTATTACAAAGCAGATAAACATGGACCACTGTTCGAGTGCCAACACAGTGGTAGCAGGATGTCTGTACTAGCACTGGGGAAGTGCCCACACCTACCTCATGGAGCTGAGTTCAGAATATTATCTGATCTTTGTGGTCATTCCCAATGACTCTTTATGCTAATCTGAGTACATCAGGAACCAATAAGAGGTGAATTTTCATGATTGGGACACATTGAAAATCCAACGTTGACACATTTACAAACATTGAAATATGGTCTTTCTGTCCATTGGAAGACATCTCATCAAGCTACCACAACCATGCAATGTGGATCTGTGATCTAGGTTTTTCCCTCTAGAACCAGTCTGTCCACGTCTGACCACTGTATCACCACTTCCAATCACACATCCTATAGACTGACCTCCTGGCCTTATCTCAGCTTTCCCACAATCTGGCTTCACTGAGCCTGTAACCTGGTCAGACCCTCAGATTAAGAGCGATAGCATGGGTAATCGACAAGATCAATAAAAATTGACCAAATGAATGACCTAATTGAACATTTTTCACAAGTCAAGCGAATGCGGCTGATCTGTTTAAACACTTCATATCCTCCACCATTAATCTTTAGTCATGTTTCCCATCTCACTCCAGGGTTACCTCCTGGAGTTTATCCCCTCGTCGCTGTTTGTCCTGGTCAGTGCTGCTTGATTTCTCTTGTGGGCAGTCTCCTGAGGCTTACAATCTCACTGACTTTTCCTTGCTCCAACCCTAATCCGAACCGTGGTTTCTATTGCCTCTCAGTTCTGCCACCTAGTGGGAAATAAATACAAGGAACAGACTATTCAGTATAAACAGTCCATGGTGACATTAAGGTCTATTTCTTGCTTCTATCCATGTTTCTTCATATGACTCCGTCAATGTAACCAGCTATTCCTGTCTCCCTCACATTCTTCCAAGTCTCCCTTTAAATGCATCTAAACTGTTTGTTTGAGCCACTACTTGTGATGGCAAGTCCCATTCACACCGCACATTGGATGAAGATGTTTCTGTTCAATTTCCCAATGGATTTCTTGGTGATCACCTCATTCTGATGGCCTTTAGTTATCACGCTGCAAATAATAACTCTCCTAGCAGCATCTTTTCTCCAAGAGAAAAGAGATCTGTCTAGTTCAAACTTTCATGATCAGTAAATGCAGTTCCGCTGCAATCTTTCTCAATTCCTGTACCCTTCCAGGGCCTTTACAGTATAATAGGATAGGCAGACTGTCACAGAGTATGAACGAGAGGGCTCATTAGCAAGGGTGAACAATTCAGAATTTCTCCCGCGAAATGACTCTCCTCCAATCTGGCCAGGCCTTCCTAATACTGGTTGGCCTCTCCCCACTCCAGAACTCTATTGCTCCTTCATCATCCTCCACTTAGGCTTAAAGAGAGGTCTATGCCTGGTCCGATACAATGTATTCACTTCTTCCCAGTTCACCTGAACGCAACCATCCATCTCTGAATACTGTTGTTGAGCTGATGCTCGTATTATGAACCTGATCATGAAAATTTTATGTTTTGTCTTGCTCACAGTTAATATAGCAACAATTGCAATCCTGTCTTGGGGAAAATGTGGTCTTTCCAAGTGCATCACACGCTACCTCGTATCCATGGCAGTGACAGATCTACTGGTTGTTTTTGTCGATGTCATTTTCGATCAGATTGGTGATTCATATTTCCCAGACAGTTTCCTGAATATTACTGCCATTTGTAGTCTTAGAGGGGTCCTGCGATATGCTGCTTCAGACAGCTCGGTGTGGTTAACAGTCTCCTTCACCTTTGACCGTTTCATTACCATTTGTTGCCAGAAACTGAAAAGAAAATATTGCACAGAGAAAACTGCAGCGATTGTGATCAGCACAATTTGTGTGCTTAGTTGCGTGAAAAACATTCCCTGGTACTTTCAGTATGAACCATATGAAATAATTGACAATATTCCCTGGTATTGCTTCAGGAATAGCTTAGAATATTATGTCTCCTCAATGTGGTCAACCTTTGAGTTGCTTCAATACAGCATAACCCCATTTATTCCGTTTCTTCTTATCTTGACCCTCAACGCTCTGACTGTCAGGCATATTTTAGCAGCCAATCGAATCCGCAGGGCACTCCGAAACCCGAAGAGCAGTGAGGAAGAGGATGATCCCGAGACGGAGCATCGAAGAAAATCCATCATTTTGCTCTTCAGCATTTCAAGCAGTTTTATCCTGTTGTGGGTGACACATGTTATACATTCTCTTCTACAGCGGATTTCAACCATGTCTTATTACAGGATTCATGTTGACTCAACAACAGCAGAACAGATTGGAGATGCACTCCGACTACTCAGTTGTTGCACAAACACGTGCATTTATGCTGTAACCCAGACTAAATTCAGAGAGGAGTTAAAGAATGCTTTGAAATATCCATTTAATCTGATTAGCTGCTTATTGATGAAACATGGGACATCCTAGAAGACTCAATTTGGCATCCAATGCCAACAATGTGTTGGTATGAGGCCATGAGAGATGTCAGAACAGAAAAATCACCAGTTGGATCTCTTCCATTGCATTCTGCATTTTAAAAAATACTTAAGTCTCAAATGCCAGAAATATTCATCCTTCATCACATCTCAAGCATTCAGCAGAATTCATACCTGCTGAGTAACTTCTCGATCATGATCTTTCTAATACTGAGATACTCTGTTACTAAGTCGGTATTTGTTCAGCTCCACATTGAAGAATTGAGTCGAATAATCTTCGTCATATGTGATGAAGAAAATATTTATTTTCAAATCTCAAGCCTCATTTGGAGCTTTCTTCTCTTCTTGAGCACTGGGTCTACATGTTCACTCATTGACCTGGATCATCTCTGGAGTAAGGCTTCTCTCCAAAACGAAAATAAATTCAACTTTGCTGAACTCTCCTGCTTCACCTTCATTCTTGCTCCTTTGCTGTGATTCTATTTTGACTAACAGCGGCTGTAGAAAGTGGCATATAACTGCCCATAATATTCTAAATCGGTTTCAGCATTGCAACATTGAGATTCGTCCATCTGAATGATAAAGAAATTGTCTACCAGATGCACCTTTGTATCTCATCAGCTCCATCGATAAAAGCTTCAGCATTGATTTGAAAACATTTGGTCAATTAAAAGAAAATTCAGCTCATTTCCCTCCTCCTGTCTGCAAAATGTTTGATGTCCTTTCAACATCCAATCCTGTTTTCTTGTTTCGTTATGTTTTATTGAGCACTTATCGATGTTCCAACATCTCTAAGGGAGAAGAAAGAAGGAAAGACAGGACATTATAAAGAACAGACAGGAAGGGAGTAGAGAGTAAACTGAGTGAGATTGTCTGTGACTGATTTGAGTTCGACACGCATTGCTGCAAAAAGTATTGTGAATATATTTGGTGAAGCTACAAGGCACACTTTTCCAACAATGGCACATCAAAAGATAACAGCTTTGATTAGAGTAGGATTGGAAGCTGAATATTCTTGTTTACAAAATAGTCAGGAAGAATCGAATAAAGTGGGAGGGTGGCAGTATCTAACATGGGATCTGTTACAGCTTTCGAACACAAGAATGGTACAAATGCTGAACCTGTTGGTTAGAACTGAAGGATCGACTGTAGCTACATTGGAGATGTCATAAACACCATTGGGAAACAGATTGAAGAAAGGTTTTGAAGGCAAATTAGTGAAAATGTTTAGCAACAACATTTTTGTTTAAAAAACATGTTTGTATAGTCATATAGAAGGCATTTTTTGAAAAGTGTTCTGAAGTTAATTCAATGGGACCTTTTTTAAAGCAGAACTTGACATTTGAAAATGATTGTTTTTGAGTTAGGGAGAAGAAGGAGAGGTACGGGACCAATCAGTAGCTCTTTGAAAGATCTGACCACACCAGACTGAATGAATCTAAAATTACAGCTCAGGAGAACAATGGTTTTAGAGAGGGGTAAAGGTGTTACATGAGGAAAGGAGTTCCTTACACAAGAAGATAAATGAAAACTTTTGGATATAGAATGAGGGAGCAACAAATCTAGGAATAACAATACAGAACAAAACAAAATTTAGAAACTACAACAAACTAAATGAGGAAGACATATAGGAAGTATGAGGATGGGCAGACAGGAACCTAAAGGGAAATAGACAATTTATATACAGAGGCTAGGTTTATTTAAAACAAAGAGCAGGGGCAATGACTTTTATGAATCAAGACATTGACTACAAAAGCGAGGAGACCATGATGGAACAAAAGCAGAAATTGCTCCACTTCTTTGTTTTATTTTAAAGTTTAACTCACTGCCACATCTCTTCCAAGTATGCCCACTTTGAAGACATTCTGCTCCTCTCTCCGACAGGGATTTCTGTACTAATCTTCTCTCTTATTCACCATCTAATTATTACTTTCAGTGTTGCTCCTGAAGTTTGACAAGGTATTTACCAAAACCCATTTCCAACAGCCACGTCACATTCCTCAGTGACTGTCTCCAGCTCAGACACACCCCACTTGGATTCCAACTCAAGTTTCGTCGTTTGTGTTTTGAATCCACTCAGGATCACAGGTATCTCTATGATGTACAATGCTCCTCTGACAGTAGTTTTTATCACATCCTGAGATCCCCAGTCAGTGCTACGTGCTGCCACATGCACACGCTCCATCTCTCTCCATCAGCACCACCTCACACTGACTCAGAGCTGTCCTTACCCCCAGTTCCACTTCATGCTCCGGCTCATTTCACATTCTAAGAAGAAACGTTTCTTTCAGGCAATAAGGAACATAAGCTGCAACAATTCAGAGATTCCCACTCTCCTCTGTAACCTTCCTCCCTTCCCCTTCCCTCTGACTCCATCTCCTCTCCCAACCCCACCTTCTGTTGCATATTTATTGTCCCTTCTGAACATCCGCTCTCTGATGCTGAATGTTCTGTGTCCAAAACAGTCACTAATCTCATTTCATTTGGTGATCTCTCCCCACTGCCTCCAAGCTCCTAGTCCCCTGTACAGCCTGCTTCTCCCTCCTTCCTAAAATCCACAGAGGACTGCCCAGGCACACCCATTGTTTCTGCCTGTTTCTGCCCCACTGAATATATCTCTTTCTCATTCGACTCATTGTTTTCTCTTCTTTTGTCCAATCCCTCCTGTTAGAGCCCTTGTTGATTTTTCATGAGTTTTATTTTATCCTTTTATCAAGTTCAGTTTGGAGATGTGAACTGGGAACTGTGGGCTAAAGATGACGTTTGGACTGCGAGTAACAGCTCGTGTTAAATGGAAAACAGGCAAAACAAGCTTTTTTCTTATTTGTGAGGCCAGGCCTGGAAATTAATTGCAGGTTCATTCCTGATCAGAAGGCTCTGTTAATGCTTTGTCACTAGCTGGTCACCCTGTTATAGGGAGGATATTGTTATCTTGGTAGGGTTCAGAAGAGATTCACCAGAATGTTGCTGGATATGGAAGGCTTGAGTTATACAGAAAAGCTGGATAGGCTGTGACTTTTTTCACTTGAGTATAGGAAGTTGAGAGGTGGCCTTATAAAAGTTTATAAAATCATGCAGGGTATAGATAGGGTTAATGGTCGGTGTCTTTTACTAGGAGGGGGATTTCAAGATTAGGGGGAATATTTTTAAGGTGAGAGGAGAGAGATTTGACAAAGACATGAGGGGCAAATTTTGTACACAGAGGGTGGTTCACATGCAGAATGAACCTCATGAGGAAATGGTGGATGTGGGCACAGTTACAATGTTTAAAAGACAATTAGATAAGTACATGAATAGCAAATGTTTGCAGCCATATGGGCCAGGAGCAGGCAGGTGGAATTAGTTTAGTTTGGTATTATGTTCGGCATGGACTGGTTGGGCCGAAGGGTTTGTTTCAAAGCTATATGACTCTATGACTGTATGGTAGAAGTTGGCTATTAATGAGGTCAGTGCCTGGGAATTGGTTCCAGCTACTCTGGAAAAGACTATATACTCAAGCAGATGGCAGATGTTGAATGGTAACTGGAATCTTGTAGAGGAGATAGTCAGTCTGTCAGGGAGTGGTCAGATCTGGAATTGGGTTTTGGACTATATTTTCTTGGAGAAGGAATCTGGCTGTTGATGTCACAGCATGAAGATTTGAAAGCTCCTTGACCAACCTCCCATTAGCAGCTCCAGGAAGCTCAGAGTATAGAAAACTAAGTTAGAAGGATTTCTGCCTTCATCTGAGCAAACTGTAAAGTTAACCCTGATCAACATCCTCAGGCAATCAACCAAGAAACCGTCGTCTATCACAAGGCACCATGAAAACCACTTCAGTAATCTGGCCATTTTGTTATTTTTTCTTTATCCCTTAACTGTGTTCATCTGTCTGTCTTTTGTGTGAATGGGGATGAAAACTAATGTTTTTGGGTTTATAGAATTGACCAATTGGATTACTTTGTTGCTTAATTTTGTTCTACTAAAGTTTCTGTTTGTTAATAAATTGCAAAGTCTTTTGTTTAAGATACAAACCAGTGTCTGAAACTGATTTCTCACAGAGTCTGGGATTGGTCATTCAAAATGTCTGTGTTGTGAATATAGAGATACAAAGCTGATTTGGTTCGGCTGTCTGTCTCGTATGTTATCACTTCCCACCTCCATCTGGGATGCTTCTGATGTTTTACATTCGTTTCAAAGTTCCCAGTTTGTAGGCTCCAGCCACCTCCTCTTCACCATGGATGTGCAATCCCTTTACACGCCCAACCCCCATGCGGATGAATCATAGAATTGATGGTCTCAGGGTTTTCTACTTCTTCCTGGAAAAAGGCGTGAACTGTCCTCATTCACCACCAGCTTCCTCCGCTTGGCTGAGCTCGTCCTCATCCTCAACAACTTCTCTTTTAACTCCTCTCATTTTCTTCAAGTCAGAGGGGTGGCCATGGGTACGCACATGGGGCCCAGTTATGCCTGTCTCTTTGTGGGGCACATGGAACATTCCTCGATCCAGTCCTATTCCAGCCCCCACCCACAAGTCTTTCTCCGATATATCGATGATATCATCAGTGCTGCTTCCCTCTCTCGACTGGAATTGGAAAAGTTCATCAATTTCACTTCCAATTTCCACCTCACACTCAGCTTCGCCTGGGCCATCTCTAATTCCTCCCTTCCCTTCCTCAACATCTCTTGTTTCCATTGCTGGGGATACAAGCTCACCGACTCCCACAGTTACCTTGATTATACATCCTCACACTCTGCTTCCTGTAAAGGCTCTATTCCATTCTCACAATTCCTCCATCTTCAACACATCTGTTCTGATGATGCCAAGTTTGACAAGGGGACCTCCAAAATGTGAATCATCTTCCTGAACAAAGGATTCCTCACAACTGTGGTTGACAGGACCCTCAGCATTGTCCAACCCATCTCCCACACTTCGGACCTCACCCCCTCTCTTCCCTCCCACAATAGGGTCTCCCTTGTCCTCACCTACCATCCCACCAGCATCCACGTCCA